AACCAGAACAAGATAATTTTACATAGTCCTGTGAAGTTTTGTTGAAATCGGTTGAAAATGTAGGAAATCCAATTCAATATATAAACATACAGACACACACACACAACTTGGGTTTTATAAGTATGATAATACACCAAACAGAATACAATGTCATGAGCCAAATGTAACAATCATTATGGGACAGAGTTAATATAATATTTCATAAATGAAACTTCCTAAACTGCAAATGCATGAAGAACTGCAGGTAATAATGGCATGAAGAACTCCGGGTAATAACAGCAATAGACTAAGACTGTTCTCTCATTGGGAGAACTACAATAATGAAGTTTGATGAACATAAACTGAATAGAAAATATAAAGAAACTGCCATTATTAGAAAATTCTTGTAACATTCAAGCAAATATGTTTGAAACAAGAATTTCTGAATATATAGTGATATTTTCAATTCAATACAGAAAAATCAATCCTCACAGACAAACATACACTTAGTTCTCACATAAACAACCAATCAATTCACAGATACAATATACACACACAAATATATTTCTTGAAAACATTTAATTTGTATTCATACACAGTGATTTATTCTCCAATGTACACAAATATACAAAATCATTGAACATTTCTAACAGATTTCCATTATTAGCAACGGATACATGCATTTTTACAAGTAAATTACCTTTAGGAAACTGGTACAAACAAATGGCTGCTTTTTGGGAATAGGTGAACAGCAGAAGACATATCGTACTCTTAGAGGCAATGGCACATGCTCTATCATGTCTGCTAGAAACTTAAAATCATCCACATTACACATGAAATAGTAGTCGTTGTCAAGCTGTGAGAGAGTCACAAAAATGTCCTGCAATAGAAGAAAGATAAATTAATTCATTCCAAATTACCATATTTCTCAGCCCATAACATCATCAAAGAAGTTATGGCAGGGAAGAAAGAAATCAGAAGTGAGTTCCACAGGTGAGAAGTGTGAGAAAAGAAACTATTAGAATAGAACATAGAGTTACATCTAGCTATTTCAATAGTAGAAAATTGAAACCTAAAAGCCAATCTAGTAATACACTCAAGTTCATCCGGTTGATGTACCAAAGACGAGAGCTCATTAGAACAAATGCCATGAAAATATTTATAGAAAAGACAGAGAAAGAGAAATTTTTCAAATATTATATGGGAAAGTGTCTGAATCAAGAAATAATTAGTATCCATTATCATTATGGGTCTAAAAAAGTCAAAAAAAAGACCAATAATACAGTATCTAATATAGTTGTAACATTATCATTATACAATTTCTAAAAAAAAAAAAAAAAACATAACTCCAGACTTTGTCAATCAACCATCATCTGAAAATAAAATTGACAAAGATTAAAGGTTGCGATGTCTTCTGGGTTTTTTTTTTCATATTTGGTCAAACCCAAATTCAACAAAATCATTGTTTTCAATCGTTATGAGTAACCTGAAAGAATTTTATTATAAACAATTGATCTTGTAAATGGAATTTTAAAGCATTCTGAATTTAAAAATAAAAAAAAAAAAGACAATAAGAAAACACTACCTGCCAAAAAAAGAGTGAATTTTCCCCCCATATATAAACGAACACACACACACACACACACACACACAAAACCAACCTGGGTTTTATAATAAGTATAACTCAATATTAATAAGTATAACTCGATATGAGGTCCCCTTTCATTAAACCTCTTACCTGTTTAAATTGATTTTTGCAAAACAATTGTGTTTTTCAATTTTGGCACTGTCAGAACCACCACAAGGTAATTTCTGTCCTGTGAAGTTTTGTTGAAATTGGTTGGTGATCCAATATATAAACGTACAGACACACACACAATCTTCGGTTTATAATAAGTAAGATTATACATTTTTTCCCACATGTTTAACTGGGTCAACCAATGTTGGCACCTAACCTACCAAAGCACCTGGATTCTTTGATGGTCTAACATGATACTGACTGCAATGCCTATATCACACTACACTGTTTAATAATATCAGTTTCATAGAAGCCAATGAATTTCTGAATGTCAGATGTAAAATGGAAACATTGAAAGAGAGGCCAAACAAAAGACAACATTTCCTTATTGGAAATCATTTGACAACATTCTACGGTGTGGGCATGAGAGTTGCAGTGCATCTCTGTGCTGAAGTGATGGGTAGTTAAAAACCAAGGTAAAGGTGTTCTGTATCAATATTCTCTATGCAAAATATACTTTACAAACAGCGTTCATATTTGCATTTACATGACTCCACAACACACATACTTTATCACATGATTAGCAACATGCTATGTTTTCATTTAATTCTATCATTAATAAAAGAGATGTGCCCTTTGATCACACTAGACATGACCCTTTTTTGGAACAAAATTATGTTACATACAGTCAGGTAAATACAAAAAAAGAATGATTTTAGTGTGCATTTTCATTCATTACTGTTCTAATCAAAACTATGCTTTTTAGTTCATTTTCTAACATCTGTAAATTAATTGATTCATTCATTTTCACAGTTTATCGACCCTTTGCAGGTTATTTAATGCCAGAAAATATCTTTAGATTGTAAGAATTTTTCTTTTGGAGATAATAATTATTTAGTGATAAGAGTCTTACTAGTTAACCTTTAGCTGGGGGAGAAGAACTGAATTCATACCTTTCCCAAGGGTATTTTAATTAAGTTAAGTAAATATAACAAAACCCAACTGAAATCGGCTCTCTGATTAACAATTCCAAGCCATTATCTATTACACCATTCTCACATGCAAGATTACAGCACCTGGTATTTCCAAGCAGTCACACTTCTAGGTAATGACTAAGCTCATCATTGCTTAACTTGGGTGATCATAAGGGAATCAGTGTTTCAAAGAGATATGGCAGTAAGCCATACCACTCACACATCCAAACTACAGCACCTGGTATTCCCAAGCAGTCACCCATCTAAGTACTAATCAGGCACCACTTGCTTAACTTCAGCGATCATATGGGAACCGGTGTTTCAATGTGATATGGCCGTAAGCCATACTACCCACATATCCAAGCTTACAGCACCTGGTATTCCCAAGCGGTCCCAAATCTAGATACTGACCAGGCTTGACGTTGCTTAACTTCAGTGATTGTATGAGAACCAGTGTTTCAACATGTTATTGCCATAAAACTAACATCTGTAAAAGAATATTGCTTACTGATACAAAAATAGTCTCAGTAAATATCATTTTATAGTCGTACATTATAAACAGATGACATAGTATAATCTGTAACCTAAGTGCTATTTCCTAACAAAAGAAAATTTTAAGTACAACAAACTTAGTTTCTACAGAAAGTTAAAAACTCACCATGAGATTTGACAATGTGGAATGAGGTAAGTGATAAGCAAACAACTCAATTTGGTCAGCAGTTGGATGGAGTCCTGCTTGCTGGAAGATAGAAGCACACAGATTGAAACATTACAAGGCTTTAGTAAAAAAAAAAAAATTAAAAAAAAATAACACACAAAAGATTGTAATGCTTCAAATTATCAGAAAATATCAATAAAAATGTTCTTCTGCAACAAATACACAAGGGAGGCACTGAAAATATATTTCTCTAATCCACTTCCCAAGACTTAATATTTTTCATCTTGGGTATGATGATAAACTACATCCAGCAGCAAGGCCTCTGATTAGGAGGTTTTGAGGAGCATGGAACCACCACTTAATTACTGGTGTGGTAGCAGCTGTTAGGGTCTCAGCTATAGGCAAATAGTTAACCCCCAAACTGGGGCCAAAATACTATGAAAGTATAAAAATTAAAATTCTCATAGTAAAAATACCAGCAATACATTTTTGAAAAAAAAAAATTAAAAGCAATATATTTGACTCTTGACAAAAATCCTTTTTACAAAAATGCATCAGTGAAACCTAATCTACAAACTGATTTCTTACAAAGAATATAAAGGGTGTTCCAATAACTTGGACAGATTTAACAACTTAAGTCTTTGGCAATTTCAACCATGGAAAGATTAACAATCAAACAACATGTTAAAGTTTCAAGAGTGCAATTGGAAAAATTGTTTGTAAATTCAAACAAACTAGGTCAGTGGAACATGTGAAAACACCACTGCTCGTTTATGCCAATCAGCTGAAAACATTGCTGCAATGCACGAGAATGTGGCCAAAAGTCCAGACACCTCTATTCATCATCGCACACAGAATTGAACCTCTTTATATCATTTCCAAATGGACTCTTGGTTGGTCAATTATGTTGACCAAAAAAATTGCCAAGTGCACGAAATGCATTTCTGTTATATAATAGGCTTCAATAACTTTAACACATTGTTTGATTGTTAATCTTTCCATGTTTGAAATTACCAAAGACTTAAGTTGTTAAATCTGAAAGAAAAAGAAAAAAATCACTAGATACTTAAACTTAATTCACATTTAAAATCAGTCCCAGTTATTGGAACACACTATATATTCTATCCATATGAACAAATCCTAAAAATCTTGTCACCATTAAATAACCCATTAAAGTTGATATGTCATAAAACTGAATAAAACAAATCAATATTTTAATAATTGAATGACCAAACATTAGAATACTTTTCTTAGCCATTTGATGTCTTGTCTTTTATTGTGCTTGATTAATCCTATTTTCCTGATTGATTTGTCTAAATTCTAAGAGTGAAACCAATCCTTCTAAGTGAAATTGGGAAGACAAAACTGTTCACAAGTCACTGATGATTTTGCAAGCACAAAGTCACAAACCATTGTGACCAAGGATTTCAGTGTACTGGCCTTGTTCAACTGATCATGACAGATTGTGCTCTCTTCAAGAAACTATTACTGATCCACTCAGTTGCAGTATCAACTACAGGTTGGCTCTGTGTGTGTGTATTGAAGAAACACCAATGTGCTTGATCAGGTATCAGCAAGCGAGATTAGCTAGTCACTCTGTCAGACAGGTGTCTTCAGGAATGAGCAGCAAGCCATTATACATATACATATATATTTCTAAAGAATTAATGCATTAATTATACAACATATTTTTATTACTCCAAATGTTATTTTTAGTGGATATCCACATTTGAGTTGAATGTGCCAATTTTGTTTTGTTTTTTTAATGCACAGACAGATGAAATAAAAACCTTAAAAACTAAAGAAGCAGGATGTTCTAATAAAATACACGTATCCCCAAAAAATAACATTTGAAGTCACACACACACACACACACACACATATATATAAGAATGGGTAGGATAAAAAATGTACATACACGCACAAATACAGATAATGGTCAGAATCCACACCTGAAGATGATATTAACTGCATGAAACTCCGAGTAGTGTTATTGACATTGAATATTATGTATATTCATTCATTTATATATATATATATATATATATATTTTATATATATATATATATATATATATATAATTGCTGATATCCCTTGATGAGTGGATGAAGTGATTGGTGGAAGGTCCATTTGAAAAACTCTAGAATTGGGATGCTGAAGGTTACACCAATCAGATAAGTGACAAACTTTATATTTCTATTAATTATATATATATCAGTTGAGATCAAATACAGATCAGAATTCCAACAGAATCTTAAGATAAACAGGAATTAGATTGATTATCATTTACTATTTGTTCTTTATATATATATATATATATATATATATATATATATATATATATATGATCTGTCAAAAAGAGAGGCTGAGGTTTGCCCAGGTTTCAGTTGGAATCATACAAGAGTTAGTGAGTCTTTTGATTTCAAAAATATTTCATACACCAACCTACAAACTTATCCAAACCATGAAGCAGACAGAAGGGTATCATCTGAACTGAAGATTTAGAACAGAAACCAATGTTGCCTTGAATGCTTGTGGTCTATTAGCAATACCTCAGTAGAGACCCCAATGCTGCAGCAACAGACTCAATCAACAATAGACAATTTTCTTCAGATTTCTTTTTACTCATTTTACTTCTGGGGGAGGGGATAAATATAGTTGGTGTTGTTTCTAGGAGGAAATGAAAAGAAGGAGAAAAAAGAATGGATGTCAACAGGTCAGCCAGATACCTATCCTCTTTTCATGCGTCTACCTGCTGAAGCCATAATCCACAAATTAATCTGGGAGAGGATATCAGAGTGCTTGAGCAACTGTTAGCTTAGGGTTAGGATTAACCCTAACCCATGCATTTTTCAGTTTCATACGAAAACTTAAACAAAGACAATCCCTCACTATCAAATCACTCCCACTCAGTTCGAGTTGTCAAAGTTCTAGATAGTCTAGTAGGGTTTGCCACTTTTATGGAGGCTATGTATTTTGTAACACCAGTATAACATTACTTACCTCAATTGGTTCAATGATCCGACTGGTGACATCTTTCAAAAGCAACAAATCTTCTCGTCTGTAAGTTGTCACTTCACCATTTTCAAAATGGGTTCCATAGCGGCCAGCACGGCCAGCAATCTGAAGAGCTTGGGAGGGTGTCAACACATCCATTTCTTTTTCTCCCTTTTCATTTAGTGTGGGTTTCACCAGAGAGTAAAAAATAACCCTTTTGATTGACCTGTAAGTTATAAAGAAACAAAGTTTTTTGTGTGCGTGCATCAGGTTTAACCAAGCCATGAGCATTAATTCTGATTAGCCAACTGCAAATACAGAAAACAGGAGTTTTAATTGGTAAATACTGTAGCCTTGTTTGACACCATGACCAGATTCATGTTATAACACACACATGCACACACACAAGTAAACAACTGATTTTCCAACATCCAGGGTTTCAGAAATATGCCACATTTTCCATTATACTGGACCACCCAAAAGCATAACTATTCAATAATATACATTTGACCATCTAATTTTGCAGGAAAGTTGGTTCCCTGTGTCATGCTAGACAACTTCTTTCTCCAGAAACTATCTTACACTTTTATAAGTCTACCGTTCACCTACGCACTGAATATTGTTGCCACATCTTGTCTGGTGCTTCTGCTATGTACATAGAGATTCTTGACAAAATCCAGCCAAAAATCTGCAAAGTTATCGATCTGTCTATCTCCTTAATGGCTTTTTCTGTCTGGAGACTTTACTTAAATACTCTTCAAGGCATGTTTTTTCTATTGTCAGTGGGGACGCAACCCATTGGTCGAAAAATGTTAAATATTTATTTTTAAAGGACTAATTAATTAACTGGAAGTATGTGCAGTTCCTCGGACTCAGAAACCATTTTTTTATCATTTTGTATTCAACCATCTTGCTGTTTATTTCTGTCTTCGCTCCACACACCTTCAGATTTATGCGTTACATTTTCCGTCATCTGTTATAAAACTTCCCAGATAGTTAAAATTTCTGTAATAGTTGGTTTTTGATATCTCCAATTTGTAGCTTACATAGTTTTCCAAATACAGAGATTTTAAAGTAAAATTTTGGGTCAGTATTAAAATAAAATATTCTTTTTATTGTAACAATTTTTCATATGAAATATTTTGATTCTTTAAAAGAGGAAGACAAAAGAAAAAAAGATTACCATAAATTGAAGTTGACCTCAAGATTTTTAGCTCAAAATTGTGAGTTAGGCCTATATTTACCATATAGGCCATTGCCCCCAACATACAGTCAGCTATCAGTGTAGCTGTTGGACATGATGTGTGGTGTAGCATTAATAGAATACTAAATTTGTGTTAGTATTTTATATTAATTTGTGTGTTAATATGCTTGTGGAGAGCCATGAAGAGACACTGCAGATACATGATATGGCATTTGGTATTCTCAGCATCCTTCTGTAGAAGGATGCTGAAATACCAAAGAGTGAATATGTAATAAGGAAGCTTTAGGGATAAAGGAAACAAACAAGACACTTAGAATCAGAAAGAAATAATTGAAACTTCTAGGGTAAATAATGAGGAAAGAGGGTTTGGAAAATTTGGTACCCATAGGAGCAGGGAGAAACGGCAAGAAACCTACCTAACAAGTTAGAAATAAAAATTTAACATTATTTAGATTCAGACTAATGTCCTCATCTTTGTTGTTATGAATATAAAGATGAGGTCATTAGCTCAAATGTAAATAATAATAATTCCCTATCCCAGAAATACAGGTAAAAATTCTAATCACGTTTATATTTTCTTTTCAATCATAAGACGACATCCAACTAACTTCAACAGAATCCCCAACCCTACAAAAAAAAAAAGAAAGAAAAAAAATGGTAAACTCACAAGTTTAGACCCATTCCAATAGCATCAGTTGCCACCATAATCTTGCAGGGATCATTTGGGTCATTAAATTTCTGGGCTTGAGCCAATTTGGTTCCTGAAAAAAGACAAAGTAAATCATTGTCATGTATATATAAATACAATAGGCAATGCTTTATAACACTGGCAGAATAAGTGAAAAATTATAATAAAGTTACAAACAAATAATAAAATAATTCAAATATCTATATTTATAAAAATATCTATATAAGACTAGTTCACAGTCCTCCTTGGTCTTGTGAATAGGAGTAGAGGTTTATCATTGGGTTCCTGGTTACTTCTAAATTCTACTTCAACTCTTTATTTCTAACATCTGTGGCTAAAATATTTAATTTTACTTTTCTTCAATAGGAGTAGATAGGTTTGACTGTCATCTGAGATACACTTCTTGATCTTTTGAACAGGAGCAGAGGTACATCATTGGTTTCCTGTTTAGGATTGGGTTCCTGATTCCTTTTAAAGTTTTTTTCATTCTCTTTCACTTTTAGTAACTTTTTTGCATCTTAGTGGGTTCCATGATTAAATATATATATATATATATATATATATATATATATTTGTTTGAATAACTCTTTGCATCTGAAAGTGGCATTATCACCTTTTTCTCTGGATCATCAGACTTTTAAGGTTGAAATGAAAAAAAAATAAATAAATAAATAAATAAATAAATATTTTTTTTTTTTTCATTTCAATATAAATATATCCAGATTTAAAGGGGTTTGAATAAAAACATCGAACTTAAAGTGGTCTGTTTTTATTCAAAAGGTTCTGAATTTACATTGAGCTCTCTGGATATCATACGGTCTACCTACGGATTACCTAGTTTTGCATAAACTAAATATATATATATATATATATATATATATATATATATATATATATATATATAGCCAGTTATGCCCCTTGATTTTCACTTTTTTCATGGATACAAAACTTAAGCATCAACACATGGAGATAGAAACAGTTAAAAACTTTCTGAAAAGCTAAGCAAAACCAGTTAAAGTAAAAAAAAAGTTTAAAAAAAAAAAAGGAAACAACAAATTATTTTTCAAAAAAAAAAAACACTAAAAATCCAAAATTGTAAGTAACAAAGTTTTAATTCTTCTCTGTAAAAATTCATATCGTTATATTAAATATTAGGTGCCTTTTTTACAATCCTCATTTTAGTCTATACAATAAGTTTGTACAGAATCATTCTAACAAAAAAAACTTTTTACCTATATATATATATATATATAGAGAGAGAGAGTAAAGACATCTGGGTGAAGAAAAATCAATTTTCCTTTTAGCACAAAAAAGGTAACAATCTGTGAGGAAGCAAATTCAGTGACAATGTTTCCATCATACTTTTCATTAAAATGGTTACCCTACAACTAACAAGATTTTCTGGTAAAACATTGATAGATTAAAAATAAAATTTCATATTTAAATGGGTTAAATAAATATCAAATTTTCTGATGTTTTTTTTCATTTAACTTGGAAAGCAATCAGATTGGACCTTTTCAGTGAACACTCTCCCATGAGTTACTCATTTAGTAGTAAGATGCTACTGACTGAAGTTGTGTACTCTATGGCTATTTCATTGACAATAAGCAAGCAAAGAGATTTTTCATGATTCATGCAGGGTTTTTCAATAAAATATTGTATCATCCAGATTTGTCATCTTTCCTACAGTACAAATTTAGCTCTGTGTGATTCTCAAAACTGAAAAGAAAAATTCACTATTGAAATGCAAGTAAAACAAGGCCAAGAACACAAGAAGGCAGCAGTTGATAATTGCCAAAGATTGTTTTACTATTTTGGAGATCCAGAGATACTCTGAAATAAGTGTATAAGGTCCCAAGGGATTTAATCTGAGAAAAACTAAAACATCACTATGGCTTAAATAGTAGATACATTTGCCTATCACCCAGTTCAATCAGAATCACTTGTGGGAACATATAAAAAGCAGCAACAAGTACCTTTGTTTCTCTCTCTCCAGACATTAGTCACGAAGCTCAGCTCTTTTCTCTTTGGTTCATCACTGTTGATAAAAGCATGTGTTAATGTCTCCCAAAATGAAACTCTCACAACAAAGACACTTTTCATTGCCCACAAAAAGGATCAGGCAATTGTACATTTCAGGTATGGACATTTTATATACCAACTACATATGTACATTTCTTACTTATTATTTCTTTTCCATAAATTGTTTTTTTATGTATATCACACTAAATGTTTCATTCTTATTTAGTTTTGTATGATTTGCCTTTCTCTCTCTTTCTCTCCATATTCTGCTTTTTATGACTACTGGGATTAATGGGAACAGCCAACATTAATATTCATTATTTCCCATCATGCCTGAATATGTGTCTTTGATCGGATGTTGTTTAGGGATTTACCTTGAAAAGCTTTAGTTAAGAAAAGGATAAAACCTACAACATATATGTGTGTATATGTGTGTGTGTGTGCACATATATGTATAGAACCTATATATTTCACTTTGAGAAGTCATTCTGCTAAGATCCTGTGGATTATTTAAAATTGCCTTTGTCATGGATGGTTTCAGACTGCCTTCTTCACAGACTGTTCAGACTACTTTATTCGTGGACCATTTCGGACTGCTTTCTTGACAGATTGTTTCAGACTGCTTTATTCATGGACCGTTTCAGACTGCCTTCTTTGTGGACCGTTTTGGACTACCTTTTGTGGACCAGACTGCTTTTTTGGACTACCTTATTTGGAATGGACCTTTTTTGGACGTTTACCTTCTTTTGTGGGACCTTTTTTGGACTACCTTCTTCACAGACTTTTTTCTGATTTATGGAGCGTTTTGGACCACCGCCTTCATGGACCATTTAACTTCTTCATGAACAGTTTTGGACTGCCCTCTTTGTTAATTGTTTCAGGTTTCCTTCTTCACAGACTGTTTCAAACTGCTTTATTCATGCATTGTTTCAGACTGCCTTCTTCATGGGCCGTTTGACTGCCTTCTTCATGAACAGTTTTGGACTGCTTTTTTGTAGATGATTTCAGATCACCTAGATTACTGTAGTTGACCCCTCTAACCTTTTGTATTTATTACTTAACACTTTGTTTCCCTTTTGTTATAAAATAATAAGCCTGTAAGTTTCTTTAACAGTTATTTTAAGTACTGACAAATGAGAGCTACAGAGCTTAATTTTGGTTTTGACTTTAAAATCACTTAGAATACATTATACATTCATTTTGTCATTTATAAATCTTTACTTGCTTTTATTTTTTTTTTTTCATTGGCCTTCCTAAATAATTATTTATATTTATTTACACTTAGAAAAAAAACAGATGACTTACCTGGAGGCAGTCCTCCATAAATTACAGCTACTTGTTTTCCTCGTTTCTCCAATTCTCGACTGATGTAATAAATGTCATTTTTACTAAAGCAAACAAAACAGTCCCCATCACGAACATTGTCAAATGACTCTGAAATAAATAAATTACAATTTAAGCAGGTGAATTTCTAGCCAAGCTGATCTTTTCTATAAGAAAACATTTTTATTTCCAGGAATTCTTTACTTTGATGCATTAAAATCTCAAGACACAGGCATAAAATAGCAATCCTGTGACTCTTTTTCTAATTGATTCATGTATCATAAATAAAAAAATTACAGAATTGGCACTTCTACAAGGATCAGAGTGTAGTATCTATATGTGACAATGGGTGTTACACAAAGCATACAAATAAATATCTACATAAAAATATATCTGTAAAATGACAAAATGAATAAAGACAAAAAGGAAAACTTATCTTAGCCAATATGTTTCATCCTCTGATGGATTTTATCAAGGTAAATATAAGAGTTTTATTTTGCAACAAGTATTTACTAACAAAAATAAAAATGTGGATTTTCAAAATTTATTTTTTTGTTAGCTTGTTCTCAAGAGTGTTGCTATCAAATCTTATCAAAATATAAATCTGCACCCCCAGATTTTTTCAAATATCTCTATTTCTGAACAAATGACTCCTTTCCCAAGCCAACATACATGACTATAAAAATGTTAGAAAAATTAAAAGAAAACAGTTAAATATCATAACCTCGGTAGAGAAGAAGGACGATTGGTGAGACGGTCCCAGGGATGGAGAAACACCGGTTTTCACCAGTGGTGTATAAATATGGCCGGTTTCGGACTCGGGGGAGTTAAGTCAACTTTACAACCTCCTTTTAATTGCATTGACAAATGAAGTTGGGGGACTGACACAGAAGGCTTGTGTTGTACAGTTAAAGGATCAGGATGATTTGCAATATGCAGCAGTCCCTAAAAATATCCTTGTAAAATATGCATCTTATTAGCATTCATCAATCTATAAAATGCATATAAAAGTAGTTGCACTCAAATATTACCATTTCCTAAATAGGCTGGTATTATGAAGAGAGGCATGAGCTGTTAAAAATTGGGATGAGTTGAATGAGCAATAGTAAAAAAAAAGAATATGCATCCAAAATAAAAATCTTAACTTGGAGTATTATATTAGGTTGGTGCAAAAATAATGTCTTTTTTTTTACGTTAAGTTGAACATCAAAAAACGACATTATTTTTGCACCAACCTAATATAATGTTATTAAATTTGTTGTTAAGCAACTTTTTACTGTCAACTATATTAAAAAGGTAGAAAAAGATTTTTGCCTGAATTTTATTACATAAGGTGCTTTAATTATTACATATACTTACCAACTGGTTTATCAAGGTATGTTAATTTTGTTAAGCGTTTGTATTTTCGAACCTAGAAAAAGAAGCAGGCAGCAATAGAGTATCCAAGTTGTGTTTAAGAAAAAAATTATTAAAATTATCAGTAGTAGTAATATGATCTTCATCTCCTTCATTTTCTTTTTATGAGAGTAAATAAATGGAAAAATGTAAAAAAAAAAAAAAAAATGAGGAAAAAAGTGAGAAAAAATGGGAAAAGTGAAAAAAATAGAAAAAAGTGAAAAAAAAAGTTTTAATAATCAAATTAGCAAATTATGAAATCATCAGAAAAATAAATTTCAGTCTATATTCAAAGTAAATTTAAAACAACTTTAGTTCCTCTTAAAGTTTCATTTTCTTAAAAATAAAGTACTTTATGATAACTTTGCTTTGGTGCAATGATTAGAAACTTCACTTAGAAAACAATTATTACTGTAGTGAGTTCAATTCTAAATATGTTTGGATCAAACTAAACTGAACTTAAAAATATTTAGAGTACCTAATCCTCAAGCAATTTTGTAGATCATCAGAATTGTAAATTGTGAGTTCAGTCCCATACACTTGTAACCTTGTTATGTACTAACATATATTCTATATTATAAAACATATTGTGACTTTTTGTATATAAAGGGCACACAAGTGGCATTATTTTATACCAGTAAAAGGATGCTGAGAATACCATGGACCCAACATTTGAGCAACAATGAAGTTCTAGAGCCAGCCAATGACAACAAAGAGGACGCTTATAGTTAACATCATGAAGAGTCAGTTGAAATTTTTGGGGTGCATAATGAAAAAAGAGGGCTTGGAAAATTTCATACTCACATGACAGATTGAAGGTAATAGAGGAAAGCAATGCACAACTTTAACCCTGGTGAATGGATGATGGAGTAGGGTTTGGGAGAGATGACAAAAAAACAAAAATTACAAAGGACATGAAATTGTGGAGAGCCATGATAGTCAATGTCCTGAACGCACACTGCACACAGATAGAAGAATAATTTATCTGTTTCTACAAGACATGGAAATATTTTAACCTTTTAGCTTATTTTGAGCTTCAGCTTATATTTTATGATTTGTCTACCATTATGAAAAATTAATTAGTGACAATGCTATTACGATCACTCATTGGGACTGGACAAAGAGATATTTACATTCATGCCTTTTTTTAACGTGCTTCTTTTTTGTTTGAATCTACAAAATGTTTGTGACATACGGTGACCATTAGTAATTAAGTATAACTGAAGTCTTCAATGTTAAATAAAACAGTAGTTAATTACAACCGCAAATAAGTACTTAAGAACAAAAGTGAAAGTCAACCAAAGATAATTAACCATTTCAGTGAATACCTTGTTAGTAGCAAGTAGTTAGTAGCTTAACATCTGGTAAATCCTAAATCAAAACCCAAATCATCAACAAACAATAATTCACACTAATTCAACTGCATAGTTCCACTCAATAATTACTGCAGTCATATATATTTATACAGCTGGCAGAAAATGTATACTCATAAGTTCAGAGTGTCATGTTCAAACCTCGGTGTCGGTAGTTACTCCTTTTCTTCCTATATGACAAAATAAAACCAAAATGAACAACTACTCTGTTTGTCTCTCAAATTGCTGGCTCACACAATTGTTGCAAATGACTATCATCTTTATTGTTATTTTCATCTTTCTTGCTTAGATTTTATTATCCAACTATAAATTAAATTTGAAATATTGTGATGTAGATTACTTCCCTTAATTGGAATTCATATAATTATTACTTCCCTTAGTACATTGATCAAATCTTTCGCTTAGTCTTTTCTTATTTAGCATTAGCCCCACCGCAGGCCACTTTGTTTATTATAGCCTTCGTTAAAATATTTTCTGGTCCTCTTGTTCTTATAACAAATATTCCAATATAAATTAAATTTTAATTGATAGCTGTAGGCTATATTTTCCATTTTTCTTGCTTAAAGTTCAAAACATATTGAAGTGTAGGGTTACAGAAGGATCCTCCTTTGGTGGAGATAAGTCACATGGGTCACGTGACAGACCACTTAGTGACATCACTTCATACAATGAATATATATCTATGCTAATTATTAGAAATTGTACCTATTTTGTCAATTTTTTTTTTTTTAAAAACTTTGATATATCAGTCTGAATTTCAATAACAAAAACTAAAGTGGACAAAGTTCCTGTTAATAGCAGCATCATACGTAGAAGCCAAAAGATTAATTAAGTGGTTAAAAAAAATTTGAGTGGGTAGTTTTTACAAGTTTAATTTAATTATAATATGGCCAAGTAATCACTAGTCAGCAAGAGAATAACAAAAACATCCCATAGTTAAATGACTTTCTATTTAAGAGAGATCTGAAATTTTTAGCAATGGATCTCCTTTTTTAAGAATGTGTAGGCATAAAGAAGGTGATTATCTCCCTTTGGTGGAGATAAGTCACATTGGTCATGTGATGGCTGCTTAGTGATGTCACTTCATACTGTTACAAGAGTGGCCAGTCATTCAGTTTGTTTACAGCAGCCAAACCGAGCTGTTGCTTTTTTTAGAATGGGCCAAATGGTTCAGGCTGGGGCTAAATCTGTCTCCCCCAGCAGCTTACAAGCAGCTGGTGCCATTTCCCTTTGGAAATATATCTTTCCCAGTTATAGAAAGAAACTCTGGCTCGCAGTCTGCAATTTGGGAAAACCCAAGACTTGTAATTTCCCCTTCATGAAATATATCCTCACCTGGGACACAGTAGCCCGTTTGAATTTGGTGTCCTAAATATGGCTTCTCCAGACACAGGAGTATCTCCATATTATATATAAAACCCTTCTTTTTTTGTTTCTCCTTACACTCTGCTTTGCTATGCATATATGATATATTGTTCTCTGTTTGGAACAAATGTATATATAGTTTTGTGTATATCTTAGTGGTATGTTTGTCATTCCTTTTCTTTTCAGCCATTCCATCCGTGAATTATGGTGGTGTTATATCACAGATATAATAATGCCCATAATAGGGGAAATACAAATGGGAGAATAAATCTTTCTTCCATAGCTCTCTCTCATTACAGAAAAAAAGAAAACATTTTTTTTTTCTTTTTTAGATTAAAAAATATTAAAGAAAAATATTATTTCAATATAAATTGAATTTAGAATTCCAAATAGACAAATTGAAAATTTGGACATTTTTAGCATATAAACAAAGATAAAAGACTTATAAAAAAAAAAAAAAAAAAATAAATAAACATCATGGCCATTAATAACAATAAAAGCTAATATAATTTTGACAACTTGAAAAATAAGCTGAATGACTGACCTCCATGGTGTCCCCAGTGACCTTCATCAATTCTCGCACCAGATCGATTGCTGAGGCCTCACCACACAAATGAATTTCTTGAGCACACAACCCCAAGAGAGCTCGCGTCCATGCCCAACCTCTCTGTTGATCCTTAATCATCTGAATTTCATCGATAATAGCCACTTCATCTGGAAAATGAAAAGTTCGATCCTTCATAAACAAAAGCACATATTTATTTACTAATTCATTGCCAACAAAAAATGCTTTAATGAATTAATTGCCTGGTGAATATATATTGAAATATTCTGGCAAACATGGACTTACATACACACGAAAAGACAAATTGTGAAAAGGATATTTTTCCATTGAGTTCATGCTTGCTATTATTCCAATATAAATTAAATTTGAATTGCTAGCTGAAATCAACTTTTCTTATCTATTCAACCCATATTCTCCTGGAATCAGTTTAAACTGATACCTTCTTTTTTTCTTCCATATATCTAAACTGTAAAGTATAAATTTAGGAGGTGAAAATTTCACTGACATATTTTTGAAAATTTCCAAGTTTTCATATAAAAATCAAAAAAGTAAAAGATCAAACTTTCTGTTTTATATCCTGCATAAGATTAATATTACCTGTGAGAGAACACCCATTAATCATAGTGATTTTCTAAGCATAGCTTAGATGTACCACAAGGCTGAGAGTATGGGGTACCCAGTGAGGATCAAACTCACTATTTAATCATAATTGTTTTAGCGAGACAAGCTTGCTAACCATGACACCACATCACAGTAACCAAAATTATTTTCTAAGAATAACTTTGATGTGGCACAAGGCAGAAAGTGAAGATCGAAGTCACTACTGAGTTGCATGTTTTCATTAAGACATGTCTCATTGAATAATTTAGAGAAGTTTTGTCTACTTATTTTCAGTAAAATCCTCTATTATATACTATACTAAATTCAATAGGATCCTCTCATGTTATATACTATATACTGAATTCAATATATCCAATTTAATCATTCGCAATGACTCCTCCCCACCAACTAATGTGTTGAAGAAAACCAACATTGTATATAAATTTAAATACCCCTTGGGAGATTGTATCTCCAACAGAAAAAAATAATATACATGTTGGTCATACTACTAATACATTGTCTTAACAGATGAGTTTTCATTTGAATGGTGCATCAAACATATCACATCTAAAACAGTATGCCTGTCTATATTCGCAATTTAGAAAAATTCTCGTTGAAAATACATCTATACTTTTTCATGAAAATAATGAACAAACTAAAAATTATTGAGGCTATCTATATTAAAAAATTGAAACCATCCCTTAATAAAATGAATTATGAATACTGCAAACATTTTAAAATGTTTACAGTAGTTTAAAATATCTAGGTTTTAAATGTTTTTTTGAAACAAAAAAAAACAAAAACATTTGGATATTTCATAACTTAGTTACTTCACAGGTAAAAATTTAACTTTCAAATGAATACAACAATTTTGAATTAAAAAAAATGTTGAACACAACAATTTTTGTCATAGAAAGAACACCCTGATGATGAGATTGTGCTGATGTCAAAAGTACTCGGAATAGATGAATATGTATCAACACGGTAATTTTCTCTTTCTTTAATAAGGATAGTAAGAAACTTGTCCATGAATATGAGAGGATCATATTGAAAATAAGTAAACAAAACTTGTCTAAATTATTCAATGAAACATGTGTCTCTCTCTCTCTCTCTATATATATATATAAAGACAGGTCTCATTAAATAATTTAGACAAGTTTTCCCTACTTATTCCTAATAGGATCCCTTCATATTTAGGGACAAGTTTCTTAATACCCTTATTAAAGGAAGAAAGAAAATTACCATGTTGATGTTAACTGAACATCAAAGGGAATTGCTTAACTAATAGTTTTAAATAGATTTTCTTTTTAAATATTTACACATCTCAATAACTTAGTCACCTCCCTTGATGTTATTGCACATGTATATTTACATCATAAAATTAGAAATTGTACAGTATAAAAGCTTAGCATTTTTCACTTCAAAAGTAAAATTTAATTTTCAGAGGAACACAGCAATTTTGTTTTAACAAAAACAAGATGATGATATGCTAATGTTGAAAGTACTTGGGAATAAAATGGATATACATTAACATGGTAATTTTCTTTCTTACTTTACTAAGAATACCAAGAAACTCATTCATAAATATGAGAGGATTCAATTAAGAATAAGTAGACAAAACTTGTCTGAATTATTTTAAATTATTATTGCAGACTTCATGAAAACATGCCAAAATATATATATATATTACAAGCATACACAAGACATCCACAGTCAGTCAAAAGTTTGCATAAGCTAACAAACTCTCTATTAAAGAAAGAAACAAAGTTTGGGTTTAGTTCCTGATTTCAATGTTTTCTATACACAACATGAGTGTTTTGCTTGGTGAGCTCAGGACTGGCCCTAGGGTTATTGGCACCCTTAGCAAACTGAACATTGTCACCTTTACAAGTATAAGTGTTTTAAATTCTCACAAGGAGAAAAACTGAAAATGAAGAATAATACTCGCTCATTCATTTTTTTTTTATGTTGCTTGATCACCACAACATAAAGGAAAGATTTAATAATCAAATTCTAAAAAGTTTTACTTCACTCAAGAAATTTAATATTTTTTTTTTTTTAATTCATTTATTATTTTCACATTTTTCTTTTTTTGTTTGGAAGATCCCAAATACATGACATGGTGGCCTTGATGGTACCCTAGGTGACTGTCCAAGTTGCCAGTACCTTGAGCCAGCCCTGGGTGAAGCAATCCACTATTTTCTTCTTTGCTGCAATATGATAACTAAAACTACTAAAAATATATCACTTTTACTTTTTTTATTTTTTTTATTTTTAAATTCTATATTTTCTGCTTTATAATGCAAAGGAAAAAAAACTTCTGTAAATATCACTTTACATCATATACCCTGATTTTTGGGGTTACCAGTACTTGACTAAAAACTCCTATTTGACACACTTGACTCCAGTATGATCTTATATATTAATATAATAATATTAAAAAAGTTATCAAATCTTTGCTAATCAGAGTGCCATGTGCTCTGCTGAAACACAATCATCAGGTGGACATATTTTTAATATTATTGTATTAATATTATATTTAAGCTCTGCTGGCTTTGTCATTGAGCTCTCAGTTTATTTTATATTTTTAAAGCTTTAGTGTATATTTTTACTTTTTGTAAATATAATTGTCTATTGGGGCAGCAATCCCTCTTTAATACATGTTTCATTGAACAAGACTGATGAAGTACTTTTGTTTAATTATTTTATTATATTTTTCTTGGATATGTAAAAATGTCTTTTCTGGACTTAATATATTCATCCCACTAACCCAAATCCTTGAAAATGGCTCACAGTTTAACTGAAAGTGCTTGAAATCAACAAACCTTTGGACAATTAATGGCTAGCCACACGTATCTGAGTAGACTTGTCTATAGGGTGGCAAGCCAATGCCTGTTAAAGATATTTGCTCAGGCACATTTTGTATTTGTTCAACAACCAGAGAGGCTAAATATGATTTATATTGCAACTATGCTGAGCGGGCCTTAATTACAGATTCTGGGAGATACCATGTTATCTAGCATGATCAATCAATTCACCATGAGAATCATCAATCCTTTGGTTGCAGGTGGCATTAAGTAAATATTTTTATTGTCTCTGCCTCATCCTTTGTTTTCATCCCAGCCAGCTTCTTACTCCAGTCAGATGACGATAATTATAAGTGACAAGATGTGTGGCTGAACACTGTCTTATTAGCATATATTAAAGAATGCTAAAAATATAGTTTTAAGGTATGCTTTATGGTTAAAGGTGCTCAATATCAGACATAGAGCATATGTATACATAAAAGTGGAGATTGACACCACTTGCTGTTGACATCAGTCTCCACTTATATATCTATATATATATATATGCGCGTATATTAGCTCTATCTCTGATATTGAGCACTTTCTAATAAGTACCGCACATATTATATATATATATATATATATATATATATTAGCTCTATCTCTGATATTGAGCACTTTCTAATAAGTACCACACATATAATATATAAATAAAATCCTCTTCTTCTCCCTCCAGCTATGAGTAAATAGCAGGATAGACTGGGTTCTATAGCCTTGGATGGCAACTGGTCTAGGAAAAGTACAACTCTGAATTCAAAACCTGTGGAGGGTCATTTGGGGACCTTGTGGCATGTTGTCGGTTCCTAGGAACTGAGCTCTGAGCTGCTCGACCCTCATACATCAAATACAACAGACGAGTCCACCATATATATATATATATATATATATATATATATATATATATATACGTGTGTGTGTGTATATATATATATATATATATATATATATTATATATATTTGTTGATAGATGTGAGTTTGTGACCCTGGGTTTCACGCTTTAGCGATTGTCAGACAAACTGATTAGCTCTATCTCTGATATTGAGCGCTTTCTAATAAGTACCGCGCATATAATATATAAATAGTTATACATATTTATATTTATTTATATTTATATACACTTTTCGCATATATATATATATATATATATATGTATATGTATTCACTATATTTGGTGGGCAATTTTTTTTTAAACAAGTCTTATTAAAAAGAGAAATCAAAAACAAAAAAAACCTCTTACATCATAGTTGTGAATCCTCAGAAACGCCAAAGTAGGGAATAGCTTGTTAGGGTAAAGTATGGTTGTGCCTTTCTTGACCCCAGGTAGCTATGGTAGCTATGAAAACCTGTCAACAACCTCAAAACATTAGGCTGAAGGAGCTCAGATACTGCCATTCAGGTAGTCATCAAGGCAACCCCTTAAAATCTGTGTTTTGGCAGCCTGACACAACGTCATTGTTCGAAACTGTCTCAGCGATATGATGAACCACGGAGGGGTCCTTGAAGTGAAGCGTGTGGGCATCGCGTATATGAACTATTATCTTGTGAACAGTAAATCTGGATGTTGCAAGATGATCTCTACCTCTATTTCTTCAAGTCCAATGGCAATGTTCCCACAGAAGGTGGGAGCAGGTTTGGTATTTTGGCAGAGTCTAGCTCATGAACACATGTTGCCGATATGCACATGATGTTTGTTTTCTCCTTGAAGTAGCAGCAATGCAGGATTTCAGCAGCTGTGTACATGTCAGGGCTGGACAATTTAGAATAGTCAAGATCATCGCCTGCCCTACTGATGCAATCAATGCTGAGAGTTCTATTCCAGATTTGGCCTCCTGAGCCATGTCAGGTTCAAGCATCGTAGAGGCACTGGATGATCCAAACTCAAACACAAGTAGTGCTGCCAACAACGAATAAGAATAGACATTTTACATGTATTAAATCTTTTTTTCTAAAATGGGAATAACTTTTCATGGCACATAAAAGAAATATTTTTGCGATCTTACAAGGTATATTTACGCTAGTCATTTCCACAGTGCAAGCTGCATGGTCAGATGTGGTTTCTTCAGATTTTGCGTAGCGTCGTTCTTCTCCAGTGACAAGATCACAAGGTGTTCCCTGTCAAACAATAAAAACAAATACATTTAAAAAATATTTTCTGTATTCATGTAAGTGAAATTATTTAAGCAAAAGCTTTTATTATTATCAATTATCTCCATGGTTAAAGCATTAATTTTATAAACCAGAGACCATTAATATTTGTCAAGAGCTTTTTTTTTTATTATATTTTTTTAATCATTTCACCCCAAACAAGGCAATAATGCCACTAAGACACAAGATGTTACAGAGAGTGGAAGAGAATGATAAAACCCAATTCTAACAGGAAAACAAGGGATAAACATCTACTTCTGTTCAAAAGACAGGAAAGGAGTTGTGAACAGGGCAATAGGTGAACAATTGTCACACAAAATCAAACAAAAATTACAAAGTAAAATGATATAGCCAATAACCTTTAGTTATTCAACTAGTTTTAAAAGAAAAAAATGTGGTGAGATTATAAATATTTATGTATCTTATAGACATAATCTTACTTATTATAAAACACAGATTGTGTGTGTGTGTCTGTACATTTATATATTGGATCGGATTTCCTACATTTTTCAACCGATTTCAACAAAACTTCACTACGTAAAATTACCTTGCAGTGGTTCTGACAGCGCCAAAAATTGGAAAAAAACACAATTGTGTTTGCACGAAATCAATTTGAAAACACAATTAAGAGTCATCGCGAGAATGAAAGGGGGACAACTCATATCGAGTTATACTTATTATAAAACCCAGGTTGTTTGTGTGTGTGTGTTCGTTTATATATGGGATCGGATTTCCTACATTTTTCAACCGATTTCAACAAAACTTCACTTTTTTTTTGGCAGGTAGTGTTTCTTATTGTCTTGCACACTTTTTTCTTTATTTTTACATTCAGAATACTTTAAAAATTCCATTTACAAGACAATTGTTTATAATAAAATTCTATTCAACCGATAGACTCATAGTGATTGTAAACAATGTTTTTGTTTGAGTCTGGGTTTGACCAATTCGTAAAAAAAAAAACTAATTAAGACATGCGTGTCTGTCAACCTTAAACAATAATCTTTGTCAATTTTATTTTTCAGTCTTTATGATGGTCGATACTTGATCTATCTCTTACTGTTACATCCCCGGGCAACGCCGGGCTCTACTGCTAGTAGATATATATAGTTGAAAGGTTTATGTATCGGTGACAAATTCACATCATTTTATACTTGAAATGGCTACATGTAACCGTAAGTTCTATGCTAACAGTTTCTTCTATCACAATTCTCACTTGTGGAACTCTTCTGGCTTCACACTTGCCTGTTAACTGCGATCTTCAAAAATTTAAATGCAATGTAAATCATTATCTTCTGTCTTCTTAACTCTTGTTCTTTTACTGTCCTCCGTCCTTAATAGTAGTTTTTCTCATATTCTCTAACACTCAGTAACCCTTTGTGTCCTAGTGGCTTTATTGCCTTGATTGAGGTGAAATTATGAAAAAAAAAAAAGATATACATTAACTACTTGGGACTGGGATATATTTTGCATAATGTCATAATTCATCAACCACTTCAGAACACTCATTGCTTTTACTACAATCAATAAATTGTCTGATTTGCATAATTTACTTTCTGACCTCATCTTTGTTATTATTATCATCATGTTTCAGCCATTATACCATCTGGTCTTCTTCAGGTGTCTGTGAAACTGAGTAACCTTCAAGGAATTTCACAAAATTCAAACAAAATTTTTGAATTTGTTGACAGTAATTTTGAGTTCAATCTCTGGGTCAGGTAGTACATATTTAGATTCAGTGGGAACAGGGTGAGTAATAAATGAGCAGTACTAAAAAAGACTAAGTATATCCCTAGACACTGACAACAAAATAAGAACAACCTACCCTCGAGATCATTGGTTCCCAATCTTTTTTGCATCATTGTTGATTTTCACATGGGAAAATATTCCACCGACCACCAGTATAGTAAATATTCAAAGGTATACAAAAATTGTTTGTTAAAAGTTTGTTACTGCATCATAAACTTACTTTATGTAGTAAAAAATACAAAAGGGAGATAAGAAATAACACTGACTTATGCAGCAGCAGCTGCTGCTGTTATTAAAGAACAAATTAAAGCAAACTTGACCATTGAAAATAATATATATAATTTAGTTTCATGGTTAAGGTTAGTTTTATGATTAGGTTTAGCATTGCAAGTGTTGACAAAAAAAATTAAACAATTTTTTTCATAATATTGAAATTAAAATGAATATAAACTATTAGCAACTAATAAAAATTAAGCAAATATTTTTTTGTTGTTCTTGGTCTTCCTTTATCTGAGTTACATCCAGGAAAAAAAATGTTATTTCACCTGAAGAACTATTTGAATGTTAATGATCCATCTCAAGATTATAGAAAATACCAAAATTATTCATTGTTTATGGGAATATTTATATTTTATCTCGGAATGTGACTTTGTTATTCCCATTAGGCCTCCTGCATTTTTTTATTTTGTTTTTATACAGGTTCTTTGTATACCATCTTTGATTATTTTTTTTTCACGTAGCATATGTTGAAATACCTTTTTAATACTCAAAATCATAAAATTTCAAATTGCCCACCATTTTCTGTTCAGTTGCTTATTGCCCACCAAACAGTTGAAATCACCCAGGTTGGGAAACCTAGCTCTAGATCAAGGGTTGGCAACCATGGCCCGCAAGCCAGATCCGGCCGGCAAAGGCATTTTGACCGGCCTGCAAGTCTGATTACCAATGACTATTTTTAACATGAGAGACGACCTTCAAATGAAATTTGTTATATGTCATTTTCCATAGAATGTCTACACACATCTTAGTGCACTAAAAATATTAGACTATCTGCCACTTATCTTTCATGAGAATATTTTATCAAGTTGCGTTGCCTACATTTAATGTCAAATAATGGATACATATTTGTTATGACCCTTGGCTACATTAAAAGATAACAGAAGCGAAAGGAACAATAAAGTGAAAGAGGCCAGGGAGGGACTGACATGCAAGGAAGCAGACATCTAAAGACAGTTAAACATACGCGCACTATACATACATGCCTCATGAATGTGTGGATGATACGGCATGTGTACGTACGTAAGTGTATATGTTTGCAATTATTTGTACTCGTATGTATGGGTATATGTGCTTCGTTTTTGTTTGATGTGTGTGTGTGTGTGTGTGTGTGTGGTTCATTTGTGGAACAATTTATATTTTGTTGGAACAATTTTCAATAACAGTTTAAAACCTACATGCCATAATTGCATCCATTTCACTTCGGTTGATTTTTTTCACTTTGAAGTATTTTGACATTCCTTGAGGAAAAGTAATTTTTGTTAGTTTTTTTTTTTATTTTAGATTTTCTTTTGTTTTTCTGATTTCTCAATGTTTATTTTCATTATGGTTTTAAATACTTAGGTTGCAGGGGTCTGCATATGTAATTTTCCTTAATTTTTCATTAATGGCCTTCGTCCGGCCCACAACCCGTCATTATAACACGATCTGGCCCACGGGGTCGAATGTGTTGCTGACCCCTGCTCTAGATTAAGTTCCTAACCACCATTATGTTTTGTTTTGATTAAGATGTACTAGAATAAATATCCCATTCAGTAACAAAGATCTGATTGTCAGTTGTCTTAATCAGTAGGGTATGTCCCTAACTGTCATCAGTTAAAAAACATATATATATATATATATATATATATATATATATATGGTGATTAGGAAGTTAAATAAGAGGCTTAGTTTGAAATTCCCTGAAGGTTACCCAATTCAACAGACACCTGAATACTAAATAAGAACTCTTCAATATATCTTTATACATGGGCAGCAGTATGTACTTGGACACAAGGCCAGAATACACAATGACCAGAATGTTATAACAACAAAATTGAGAATAATAGTCCACATATAAATAATGCAAATAGTAATTCCTCATCTTAGAAAATCAGACAATAGTTCAAGTTAGATTAGTTTATTTTAAAAATAAACCAAGAAGTTACAAGTAGCGAAACTGAAAATTTACTAATCACTGTGCTTTCAAAATTAACTCAATTTGATTATCCTGCCTCAAATACGTAATAAAGTCTTAATACTCTATCCGTTACTCATGTCTGCCTCCCCTAATTTTTATTTAACTAAAGTATATTTTTCATTTCAAATAAAAATATAACTTGAAATTTAAATATAATCAATTTTCAAAACTAAATTCTCAGTGTATCTTACTTCTACTCTCTTTCAAAATAGTTAATAATTATATTCATTTATGGAGAAATGTTTACTTCTTCCACTTTCTTTAAAAAGAAAATAATCACTAATGTAATCTTTATTTACTTAAAAAAATCTGAATTCCCCCCCAAAATAAATAGTAAATAATTATTTTTCAAAGAAGTAAGGCTAACTATAGTTTTTGCTTGAAAAAAATGATTAAATATATTTTAATTTAAGTTTACTTACTTTTTTATTAATAATAATTTGAAAAAAGGTTAATGAACTTAGATAAATCGATTTGTTTGAAAACAACATTAACAGAGTATTTATGTTAGTATTTAATTCAAAAAATAAAGTGTATTTTTTAATAAAAATATGGGGCTGCTCATCCCCTCCCACCAGAATGTGGTATTGGCAGTGGGGTATTTTCCTAAATTTAGTTGTTTTGTAAAAAACGAAAAAAATAAGTTTATTTTTAAAAAGATTAAATAAGAAATTATTTTCCATAAGATGACTGAAAAATATCAATAAATTATCAATAATAAACTATAATTCAGAGATTTTCCAAGCAACACCAATTATCCCCACTAGTAATAATAATTCAAAATGTGATTTGCAAAAAAAAAAAAAAAAAAAATAGATAAAATAATGAGGATATTAGTTCAAATAAATTATGTCAACATTTCTTTGAATTTTCTAAGACTTTGGAAATCTTCCTGGAAAAACAGTGTTTGAAGATCAAACACCAGCCAATATATTAAGTTCAGTGTTAATGGTAATATGAATGGTAATAAAAACTTAAAAAAAAACATTAACAAAATTATCAAAAAATCCAAAACAAAAAAAAAAAACTATCAACAAATATTATTGATCATCAGAGTTAAACTTTATCAATGAAAACGAAAAATGGGCTTTAAGTAGTCGAATGGATGACGAAAAATGGGCTTTAAGTAGTCGCCTCTTATCCACAGCAGGGGGATATGTTTCAATATCCCCAGCAAATGTCCAAAACCACAGATTTTTTTTAATCATTTCACCCCAAGCAAGGCAATAAAATCACTAAGATACAAGAGGTTACTGAGTGTGAAAGAATAAGAAAAAGAATTGTTCATTGGAGAACTGTGTTCCAATTCCAGGTTCGTTATATTCACTTACACACAAACACAATTGGGAAAGGTATGAACCCACATCATCTCCATTGGCTAATTAGTAAGACTTGTATTACTAAATCATTATTATCTCAACAAAAAAAAAAAAAAAAAAAAAAAAAAAAATTAAAATTTCTTACAATCTAAAAACATTTTCTTGCTTTAAATAACCTGTAAATGGTTGATAAGCTGAACAAAATGAATCAATCTTTTTGTCATATTCTCTCACATTCAGTAAACTGTTGTGTCTTAGTGGCTTTATTGCCTTGCTTGAGATGAAATGATTTTATTCTTACCATAAATCATAACAACCACAGAATACAATGTTCTTTACTTAGTGACTCAAGAACTTTTACCTTTTCACTTAAAGGAACTACATTAAAGTTTCTCTTACCGGAATTGCCAGCATTACTAATCTTGTATAGTTTGGGACCAATATTAACTAAAACTTATAAATTACATGCAACTGAAATTGTAGATACAAGAAGATCATTGTATTTATAAGATGAAACACCTTTTTCCTACTCCTAGCTGGCCATTGTCATTTGCTGTAACAAGAAATGCAAACAATAAGAAAAAAAAAATTACTTCAGCATTGCTTTTATTAAAGACCTCTGCTGCCAATAATTTCAGGGGACCACAATAGACACCAGATTTGGACATCAGGAATCTTTGAAGAGCATGGTAAGTCTTGCCACTGTTTGTGGGCCCAGCATGGAATATAATCTTGCGTTCAATTGCTCTGGCCTCAGGATACCTGCCAAAGAAGTAGAATTTTTTTTTCTTTTTTAAAAGGATTTATTTTTAAAATGATATATTTGTTTCTATTAACATCCAAATTCTTTTTTGTTTTCTTATTGATTTATTATTTTATTTAACTTTTTTGTGATTAGGAATGAAATCAAGATGAATGGTTTATTGTAAAAAAAATATAAATAAAAATGTTTACAAGAGAAACAAAAATACTTACGGAAAAACACAAAATTCATGCACAACAATTTTAAAATTATTTAAATTTAGAACATATTTATGATCTTTCTGACTCTTTTTCATTTTTTAGAAAAGTAAAATTTTAAAGTGGTAGTGTCTAAATTGGTTCTAAAAATGGAGGTTAGATTTATATAGGACATATAATGCAAGAATGAACCCTTGCTAGTGGTTTTAAAAAAAAAAAAAAAGAGGAAAATTTGTATCCCCCCGTAGCCTATGATATTCACAGGGTCATGTTACAAAAACATAAAGTGTTGTCTAATTCAGTTATACAGATTAGATATGTATATCGATTGATTTTTTTTTATGGCTTATCAACCCTTTGTGGGTTATTTAAAGCCGGAACATATTTTGTATTGTAAGAATAATTCTTTGTTTTTTTTTGTGAGTGAATAATATTTTTTTTTGAAAATAAATGAACAATTTTTTGAGAATAACAATGATTTTTCCAGAGCTGAGGGGAGGAGATAGATTAGTTTTTAATTTATATTTATATAGAGTTTAAAGTAACACTAAAACTTTGTGGCTTTAAAAATTTTTGTTTTAAATTCAGTTTAAAATATCTCCAAAACTTTGTGAATTTAGGAAATCAATTTTATTTCTTCAAAATGCCAAGAAATCAGATTTAAAGTGAGAGGTTTTGTAATGTGAGGTTTTGAAGCTCTGCAGAGTTTGTGATTTGAAGAACTCAATTTTCGACCCAAATTGGTCTTTTTACAATTAACCACACCTCTGACTACTTTTTAGATACAAGCATAAATTGCACATCTGCCTTTTTAGACCTAAGTACAAACCACAAATGTCTACCTTTTTTGACCTGAGTACAAACCTCTCGTCTACCTTTTTAGACCCAAGCATAAACCTCATATGTCTACCTTTTTAGACCTGAGCATAAACCTCATGTCTACCTTTTTTAGAACCAAGCATAAACCTCACATGTCTACCTTTTTAGAACCAAGCATAAACCTCACATGTCTACCTTTTTAGAACCAAACATAAACCTCACGTCTACCTTTTTAGAACCAAGCATAAACCTCACATGTCTACCTTTTTAGACCCAAGCATAAACCTCACATGTCTACCTTTTTAGACCCAAGCATAAACCTCACATGTCTACCTTTTTAGACCCAAGCATAAACCACATGTCTACCTTTTAGACCCAAGCATAAACATCACATGTCTACCTTTTTAGACCCAAGCATAAACCTCACATGTCTACCTTTTTAGACCCAAGCATAAACCTCACATGTCTACCTTTTTAGACCCAAGCATAAACCTCACATGTCTACCTTTTTAGACCCAAGCATAAACCTCACATGTCTACCTTTTTAGACCCAAGCATAAACCTCACATGTCGACCTTTTTAGACCCAAGCATAAACCTCACATGTCTACCTTTTTCGATCTGAGCATAAATATCATGTCTACCTTTTTCGATCTGAGCATAAACATCACATCTACCTTTTTAGACCCAAGCGTAAACCGCACACCTGTCTACCTTTTGCATCTGAGCATAAACATTACATCTACCTTTTTAAACCCAGATGTAAACTGCACATCAGCCTACCTTTTAAATCTGAGCATAAACCACACATCTACCCTTTTAGACTCTAGTGGAAACTGCATCTATGTCTACCTATCCATTAAATCATTGTCATTTTTGTCCTCTAAGACTTATATTTGACATTAAATGACCCAACCAGTGTTTTATATATCATTAAACAACCTAACCAAATAATAATGAAATGAATCTAGTTATCTGAATTTACACTTATTTTGCTCTTAACCCTTTACAATTCAACATATGCCAAAACCGACCTCAAATATCAGGTCTCAATATTTAAGCCATCACAATCCACCACGTGTGTACTCTGGCATAATAATTGACATCATCATCACAAATAACACAAGATGTAATGCAAAACAGTGAGACTTTAAGAGTCGATATTTACAGTGGAGGTTTGAACATGTTAAATGCTAAAGGGTCAAAGCAAATTCAATAGATTTTAAAAGTGAGTAAAATATATTTAAATAGAAATAATCCATTTCAACTAAAAAGGATAAAGAAAGATTTCCTTTTTAATCGAATAAATTTCACATCATACAAATGGCAGATTTATTATGGCTTATTCTAATTACCAAGTAACCAGTTTCATCATTACAAAGACACTTGGCTGACCTGCAAAGTATCAGCTAATTGTGAGAGGACATTTTTACATAATTATTCAAAAGATGAATTAAAATAATGTTATACTCACCAGTTGGCTGGTAACCGTAAATCACTAATCTTCTTCAAGTCTTCCATACAACCAAGATGAGGAAAGACTTCACGGGCATGACGTAGAAAATATGGGAAAATATCATCCACATGTCCTGTAAACAGAAAACAGAAAATGACTGGCAAATGACACATAAATAGGATAAGTCACGTTTAACACTGTTTCACTTATACTGTTTATAAGTTGCTTCTTTGTGATACATTTTATACACTGCAAGTTGGCATCGATTTTGGTTTCTTCATCGAATATCTTTAACTAAAGAAAAGTGTTGTCTAATGATAAACAAACAAATAATAATGAGACCAAAATTTCAGCATTTAATATATATTCAGAATCACTATGCCAACCAACAAATCAGAAACCATCCTGACCAGGATACACATATCATAATCTAACAAGTGAAACAAGAACTACTCACAACCAAGATATAAGGTCACTAATCAGGAGCCAATGAGAAATAATGTGACACTTTGAAAGTGAATGTATTGGTTTGTCTAGAAAGTTCATGCTGATTTTTAAGGGAATTAAAGCACAAAACAGAATTTATAACAAAACAAATATTCATTCAACTAAATATGAACCATTTTGTTGTACAACCTTTCTCCATTTTTCCTTCAACTTAAAAATTCCAACTTCTCAGAATTTTGGTAGTTTCTCAGCAAAGAACTCATTAAGGGTTTTTTTAATGTCATCCAAAGAATTAAAATTTTTACCACTGATATTATTTTGCAAGACCCTGAATAAATGAAAATCAGAAGGAGCAATGTCTAGTGAATATGGTGAGAGGAGTAGCACATTCCAGCCAAGCTGCAACAGTTTTTGCCGGGTCAACAAAGAAACATGAGGTCTGGTACTATCCTGATGGTAAACAACACCTTTCCGGTTCACCAATTCTGGGCGTTTTTTTGTTTTTTTTAATTGCTGCCTTTAATTCGTCCAGTTGCGAGCAGTAATTTTCAGATAAATTGGTTGGTTACTTTGTACTTTGCTCATAGTACAGGATTCCTTTCAAATCCCACCAAATGTACAGCATGACTTTCTTAGGATGAAGACCTGCTTTTGAGGGGGCTAAAATTGGCTAATGTTGCTTACCCCAGGATCTTTTTTGTTGAACATTGTTGCAAACAATCACTTATCACTCATCAAAATTTTCTTCAAAAAGGGTGCATTTTCAATGCATTTATACAGCAAATCACAGATAAAATGCAATCCAAAAGATTCTTTTCACTCAGATTATTTGGTACCTAAACATCATGGCAATTTGAGTACCCAAGCACTCATGGATGGTGGATTTTGATAAATTTAGTGTTTCTGACAATTCCCACTATGTGTAATGCAGATCATTCTCAATCAATGTCATGATTTGGTTGTCATCTGTAGTCCAGGGAAGGGTCTGTCTGAGTGTTCTTCATCAATAAGACTACAATCACCAACTCTAAACTTAGCAAACCACTTCCATACAGTTCTAAATAGCAGTATAAGCCAAAAGATCAATTAAGTAGTTAAAATATCAGGGTGGGGAGGTATTTACAAGTTTAATTTAACTTCTCTCCAGGATCTATCATATATATCTATGTCTTAGCAGGTAGCAACATTCACCCATGCTTAGAATATTGCTACCTAATACCTTGAGCTCCTTGATAAAATCCAAAGAAAAATCAGCAATATTATCGGTCTTGATCTGGTGGCTCAGTTCCTGTCACTTTCCCACCACTGTAAGGTTGCCTTTCTGTGTTTTTTTCTCTAAATACTTTCGTGGTAATTGTTTGGATGAGCTCTTCACTATGGTACCTAGACATTTTGAATTTAAGTGAGAGTACAAGACTGGCATCAAGATCTCATCAATTTACAGTTGAGCTGGCTCAATGTAGCCATAAATTTTATATGAACAGTTTCTTTTCTTGCACTTCTCACTTGGGGAACTCCCTTCTGACTCTATGCTTTCCAGACAACTATCTACTGTCCTCCTGATTACTCTTTCTCTTTTCACTCATTATTAATGTTTCTGTTTCTTTTTTCTTCTACACCCTGTGACCCCTTATGTCTTAGTGACTTTACTGCTTTGGATGGGGTGATACGGATTAAAACAAAAACTATACTATATGGCCAAGTAATCACTGGTCAGCAAAGACAATAACAAAAGCTTCCTATAGTTAAATGTCTTTCTATTTAAGAGATTTGGTGGAAATAAAGCACATTGGTCATGTAACAGGCCATTTAAACATTCGGTTTGTTTACAGCAGCCAAACTGAGTAGCTGCTTTTTTAGTCTGGGCCAAATGGCTCAGGCTGAGGATAAATCTGCCTTTCCCAGCAGCTTACATGGTGCTGTTTCCATTTTAAAATATATCTTTCCCAGATATAAAAAGAAACTCCAGCTCAGTTCTCAATTTGGGAAACCCAAGATTTGCCTGAGACATAGTAGATGAATCTAGACTGTTTGAATCTGGAGTCCAAAACATGGCTTCTCCAGACACAGGAGCATCTCCATATTATATGTAAGAACCTTCCTTTTTGTTTCTCCTTAAAATCTGCTTTAGATATATATCTGTATATATATATATATATATATATATATATATATATATTATTATCTGTGTGGGATGTGTGTATATATGTATATATAGTTTTGTGTATGTCTTAGTGGTATAAAAGTCTCTCTGAGAACAAAGCATGTTTGCCATTCTTTTTCCTTTCAGCTATTCTGTTCTGTCTGTGAATACAGTCTTACTTTATCCACATAACAATTTTAACTGATTTTAATTAATGTCAGTTTTAATCAAAAGAGAATGGCTGCTAAAAACATCCCCTCTCCAAATATATAGACAAATCCTACAGATGCATGCTGGGATTTCTTCCTAACCAACAAAAATGAACCACTTCTCAGTCTAATCTACCATATTTTTCTTCTTTCTCATCTACAATCACTTAACTTTATCCCTTTTGCATGTGAACACCATTCTTACTTTGTGAACTTTTTGCCTTACTACTAGTTTTGACTTGCATATATATTGTTTGCCTAGTACTATTTTACCATATTTTTTTTACTTTTTCTCATTGTTTACTGAACAATTTGTCAATTCCATTTGTTGAGTATTTTTGCCAATTACACTTAACCATAGCCAATTATTCCAGACATTTGCTTGAAAATTTTAACAAACCTAAAATAAATAAATTCAACACATACATGTATTCTATATATTGAACTAGGTGTAGAAAAGGGAGAGAAAATGCATTCTTCAACTCTTAACCTACTGCGAGTGAGAAAGTGACTGACAATATATTTCTTTGAAAAACTTATAATGGCATTAGATTACTAGTTTGTTACAAGAATTGTCAATTTCTAACAGCATTGTCTCATTTGTTAAACTGGGATATTTTCTTGTGCTGGATATATATATATGTATGTATGTCATAGGTT